GAGCTCGGGGGTGGATTCTGGGGAGCATCTGCTTGTTATATTGTTGAATATCATTGACTCATCCTTTATTTCCTTCCAAGCCCAATGATTGGGTCCTATTGACGTCCTTGGGGAAGAGTGAGTGGTTGTGATTATTTTCTAAATAATATACGACTTAATGCGCCATTTTTCAATTGGATCGTGGGTGAAGTCCACTCAGTGTTGATCCTCTATTTTCCAGGAAAGCTGCAATCACTGGTGCAAGTGATGCGTGAACAAGGTTTCTCTGTAGCACGTGAAAATACTTTCCCGAGAGCTTTTTATTTCATCGATTCACATCATCGTTGATTGGCAATTTTCAATCTTGTGTCAAGTGCCGGAGAAAATAGATGGGATTTAATTAGTTTGAGGGAGTTTTCCTCGTGAAATTCCGATATTAATTCACGTGGAATTTTCTGCAATAAATCAACAGTTAATTACGGTGACCTTACGATGGATTGAAATATTGCAAAAATATCGATCGAACTTTTTGCTCCTCGGTAGCGGCGTTATACAGTCTGGCGCCGAGACGATATCATCACTGTCGCAAATGAGAAATTAATTAATGTCCATCCAGTTTGTCCGGAAAAGGCGAGAGGGCCAGTGGACAATCTGGCGCATCTGAAATCCGTCAGAGATAACGGAGGAGAAAAATTAAAAGTTAAAAGTCGAAAAATGAAAGTTAAAAACTGAATTAAATGAATGAAATTCAATTCTCGATCAGTAAAAATAACGGTCTGACATCTGCATCGTGTAATCGTGAGGTAGAATTTCAAGGATAATTTTTACTAGAAATTATTCATTCCTCCGTGGAATTTCCTGCTGTTCCAATGACGCACTCACATCAATATCTTTTTCCTCTTCAATTCCATAAGAAGTTGCCGACATAAATTCACTCTCCAAAGGTAGAAAATTTATTCTCGATTCACTGGACAATCTTCTTCATTAAAAGTTGAGAGATAATGAAATATTCGCATTACACATGCAGTGACACGTATCGGTGAAAGTTTTAAATATTCAGAAATGGAGAAAGTGCCTCAGCTCGACAACTTCTGTTAATTCTTATCTCTTGAAATCATGTGCGCCGGAAGTTTACGAGCAATGATTAATATGAAATTACTCAGTGCAAAATAAGTGACGAAAAGATTACCAGAGGCAAAACAAAAATTGCCGGAGAACTTGACAGCAATTATTTCTGAATAAAAATAGGAATTATTACAAAATAGAGTTACGTAATTGAGTGGTAAACCTAGACTGTGGGAATATTTTTTTCCCCATTTGTCGAATTTACATAAATTTAACATAATTGGATTGCGTGTTGGGTGGAGGGAGAATGCAGTCAATAAGGCACAGTCACTTTCTATTGAATTTACGATAGCAATATGAATGTAGAGGTAGGGTCTAGATAGGAGCCTGTTGCATACTTTGTATTGAATGATTGTCACACTATTTTGACATGTCCCTTTATGGGTATGAGAAATTACCGAACGCAATGTCGGACCTCTCGTGTGCTTCGGAGATAAGACCAACAGAACAGATCGAGAATCACCTGTTAAAATTGTCTATCGACCCTTTAACGATAATTTTATAAACACCTGCAACGCAATACATAACAGTTGTTGGAGCCTCACACACCTGGAATTTCTTACAGTTTCGTAGAACACATTGGAGGAACAATTTTAATGAAGTGTAATGCGGAATGATTTCGTTCTTCAGTGACCCAATTGGTCGTGATTCGTTAATTAGGAAGTATCTTCACACCGAAAGTTTATATGTAGGTGTTAATCCCTCGTATGCGAATGAGAACGCTTATCTTCAAAATTAATTATTTCAAGATTTATAAAGAATAACTTGATCAGACAGACAAAATTGGAAACCGGAATACTGCAGCTTCAATTAGATACCGGTTCCATAATTTTCCATTCATTAGAAATAATCGAATTCGAGTCATTTTGAGCACGCACTACGCTTGGTAACAGAAGGGCCCCGACCGTGAGGGATTAACAGCAAATTGCACGATACAATGTTGAAATTTTTCGTCTGGATTTTCCGGCTAAAGCTCGGAAATTTTTATCATGTTTAATTCCCAATGAAATTTTAGGGAATCTTGTCATTGAAAAATCAAATATTCCATTGATTTTCTGCTCGAATGATCTGAAAATCAGTAAAATCCTTCATTCTTCAGTTTAACTATTTTGTGAATTATTTCGTAAATACCGAAAAATTAGGAAAATTCGAGGAAAAATGGAAAACTTTTGAATTTTTTTGAATTCTACCTAAAACTTGAAATTTCATAACCATTTTTCCCCTCAATCGGGTTCAATGTCACTCTCATGAGAATTACTGCCATATTTTCCATGAAATTTCGAAAAATTTCTAACAATGTATTAAGAAATTGAAATTTCATAGACCGATCAGTAGCAATTTTCAGGAGAGCGGTAAAGAATTCGATTCGGGAAAAAAAACATTGCCGGGACTGGAAATCATTAAGTTTTAGGAATATATGCGTAATTTTAAAGAATAATTTTTATAATTGAATGCGCAATTTTTATAAATCAATGCTTGAATTCCAGGAACACGTCACTGATTTTCAGGGATCTATTACCAATTATTGGTGATACTGGACACTGACCAGAATGACCCTGATCATCATTGGTTTTCATCACTGAAATTTCGTGATAGATTCCTAAAAATTAGAGGCTGATCCCCGAACTTACTTGCATTTCCAATAAAAACATGAATATTCAATACTCAATTACTTTGAATTTTCCGAATTTCTCTCAATTTTCATGGAATAATCGATCTAAAATTTACAGTTACTATTGACTTTTTTATCAGCTTGTGAATAGTCAATCAAATAGTCACGTGTATCCGTCAACACACGCCAATTTCAAAGACTAAAATATAGCTGAATCGTATAACTATATCGCAGCCGTTGCAAACTCAATGATCATCACACTATTTTGACACGAAACTTGATGGGTATGAGATATTACGGTATATAATATTGTACCTCAACTCGACGATGGCACTGCGGGTGGCTGATAGCACTGCTCACTGAGTTACCATCAGCCCTCAGTGTGTATTTCACTTAATAAATGCATTTCCCACTTTTTTGCCCTCATGTTTGCCCCCGGCCATCGGTCTCCTCCGTCATCGTCTCCTCGAGGTGAAAATTAGTTCTTGAAGAAAATGTTTTCTCCAGCTGAATACTTTAAAGAATCATACCCTCACCGGCATTCTTTATTCCATTCCCTCCTTTGTTCTGCTTCTCAGCGAAGAAAATTGTGTAATATTCTAAGCGAAAGAATAAATTCAGGGACATCCAGGCGAGATAAAAGTCTGAGATGAAGAATTTTGGTTCAAGAGCATGTGGATGCACTCCAACATTGACGAGGTTATAAATTTTTACACAAGTCCGTTGTGAATTGAAGGAGTTCTGTTGAGAATATTCATATATTCTATTGTATTCGGGCATTCCTTCGGAAAAAATCTTGTTCATGAATATCTATATCCAGAAAAATGGATCAAATAAAGTTTATTTAAAGAGCACTAAATTTTTTTTTTTCAAATTAAATAAAAAGTTTATTCGAAGTTTTGCTTATATTAAATAAATGTTTCTTTACTGTTAATCAATCTTTATTTGATCTAAATAAATTATTTATTTATACCAAATAAACGGTGTTTTTATATTAAGAAAATTATTTATTTGAATAAAATTTATTTTTTCATTGAACTAAATAAATATTTACGTGATGCTTATAATTTATTGTCGCCTTGAGATGGTAATAAACTCGACAACGCCTGCGCGAAAAACATGCAATAATTATTAGGGACTGTACATACATCACGTAAAACATTAAGCGGCGAGGGAGGGGGGGATTTCTGTTCCATGGTTTCAATATCAGAGAGATGATGGTGAAAGAGAGTCGTATATGTATACTGGAGTGAAAAGAGTAATCAAAAATTGGATCAGAATGTGCCTAGAGAGCTCAAATCGTCCAGCTTTCACATTTCCTGGATTAGGTTCATACGACCTTTTTCTACAAAGTCCACAGATATTGTTGAAACAAACTTTCGAAATTTTTTGGCAAAACGCATGAAAATGTGAATTTCATTAAATAAGAAAACTATTTATTTGCAGTAAATAAATTTTTTTTTAATTTAATGAACATTTCATTCGAAACAAATAAATTATTTGTTTAATATAATTAAATAATGTTTTTTTTAAACAAGTGAATAAGTTTATTAATTTGTAACAAAAATATTCTTAAAATAAGTAAAAGATTTCAAATAGAATTTTATCTATTCCAAAAGAATCATTTTTCTGGATCTACGTTATCACTTCAGTGATTTCCACTGCGGATTATACCGTGAAAACTTGTGCGTGTCGAAGCAATTTTGATTTAATCCACCGAAAATCTATTCCATATTGGGAGCTCTGGCGATATGGAGGGAGAATTCCTCTTGCCACGTGTAACGAAAACTGATACATTGTAATTCTTTTTGATTATATAAAACGAGGCAAATATTATCCTATGAATTTTTTCATTACCCAAGTGGGAAGTAGTCATATGTTCCGCGTCAAACTCTATATTCATGCTTATTTCAAGAAAAATTTCCCCATCATTCTACTGCTCAACTATTTTTTTATAACGTGCTTGACGATTCTATTCATTTAAATATGGAATTTTGGAGAAGTTGTAACCTTTGAGTATTCCCCAACACTCGACCGTGCCCAATCCTGGTCTGAAAACCAATTATGTCCCGTGAAATACTCAAATGAATTTTATATAATCTTGATTACCTCATCCTCACTCATTATCTCCGAATTAATTTCAAAACCATTTCATGTCACTTCATACAATCCGAGATCAATTAACTCTCTCAATAAGCTGTTGCTTCCAAACATTCATTTATTTCATTTACATTCATTTAAGTAAAATCTACTGGTTAGGAAAATCACAAAATTACACATTCAGTTTACTTCAAATACATCAGATTCACTTTATTCAATTGAACTTGACAAATTTCAAAATAATCTGAGGAAATGGACTTGTAACTCCAGTTGGACGATTCCTCTTCTTCAATCCAATTTCACACAGAGAAAAAAAAATTCAATGTTCTAGGGACATTGTCATAAATTTTTAGGGAAATGTCAGTGATTTTCAGGGGCCCATTTTCAATCTTTTGAAAATCTATCACCAAATTTTAGTTATTCTAGTTAGTGTCCACTATATTCCCAAATCCTCTGAGTCCCCTTCACATAAATTATATAAGATCGCTTACAAATAATATAATTTCAATAGAAATTTGATATTCAGCGCGATGGAAATTCCGGAATAAAAGAGGCAAATCCACGTTTTCTCCCCATTTTTCACTCACTCCCAATTAAAAACTCCCCAAAAAAATCCTCTCCGCGCTCTCATCAATATTCTCTAAATAATTGAAACACGAGGTCTAAAAAACTGTTTCAATATCGAATGAATAATCGCGCTAATTAACAACCCAATCAATTGGCATGCGATCAATAACTTAACGAGCTGGGTAATAAATATCAGTGACCTTTCAGAGACTCTAAACGAAGCCCCCAAGGTATCCTCAATACTCCCGATGTCTCTAGAAAGTCGTGTCCCTTGCCCCAACAAGCAAACTTCTCCTCCTCCAAAGGTTTAATCCGGAAATCCACACGAATTCCCCCAATTTCCTGTTCAAAATCTTGTATTTCACTCAACATCTGAATACCCCCGAATACAAAAACCTCGAGCAAACACTAGACCAATCTTCAGTCTTGATTCTCAGTGCCGAGACCCTTTATCTTCAGGAAGTAGAAAATAAATTTTAACCTCGCCCCTGGGTGTTTTAACGATCTCCTCGTGTCTTATCAATTGGGTTGCAGCCAGGCCGTACAGCAGAAGAGGAATACCTGTAGGGCAAATGAGGAGAAAAAATCCCTTAGAGACGATCCTCATCACCAGCGTAAAATAATGAAATTGAGACCACAATTTAATAAGAAAAAAAAAGTGATAAATAAAATCAAATTTTCCCGGCGGTCTGACGTTGCCCATTAAATCCTTCGACTAACAATTTCTATCATTTTTATTAATAAATTATCTGTCACCCAGTGGACTTGACATGTTCAAATGCCACCCGCAGCAGCGAGGTGAATCGCTCGATCCTGTTTTATCCCCTCCCCCTCACCTTTACCCAATGGATTATGCAAATACCAAGGTTAATTATCTTGATCGCCTTGTAGAATTTGTCATCGACACTGAGGTCCTCCTTCGGACGTTTTGTACAATGATATTTGATGTAGGGAAAGCAACCTGTACGGAGTACGTGGTAGTTGCTACTTCCCGCTGGCCAATTGAAGTGTGACATGCCACGTTGATCATTGACGACATCTGTGTACCTCACGAAGTACGAGGTCCACGGTGGCTCTTTGGTCTGCATCAGGTAGCTCGTTAAGACCTATTTACCGTAAATAACAGTCTGTTAAAGCGTTTGTCTTGGGAATTCTTGAGGGAGTTGCATACGATCTGTCTAGATATCTTGCGAGTGGTATACACTGCTGTTGTCCAATGCATTCCAACTGTTTTGACTTCCTGATCTGGTTCATTCTCACGAGTTTTAGGATATCCAAGCTACACTGGTAAAAATTTTCGCGCGAATTTTTCGTGCCAAATGTCGGAAATTTCTATCGTGTTCAAGGTTCACTGAAATTTCAGGAAATGTTGTCATTGAAAAATCAATTCAGTTCAGTTATTCTGTGAAAATTCAGGTCATTTTGTTTCTGGATATTCACGTTCCACTGAAAATTCAATCAAGTTGTGAAATTGCCATCTCACTTCCACTGAAAACCCATGGATTTCCGTGAATTCTACTTAAAACTTGAAATTTCATTACCATTCTTTCCCTAAATCCGATTCAATTTCACTCTCATGAGATTTACTATAATAACTTTCATGAAATTTCAAAAAATTTCTAACAGTGCAATGTCAAATTTTGGAGATTGAATTGCGAGAGAATAATTGGGGAAATTCGTGGGAAAACGGCGTTATTAAATAACATTTTGCAAAACATTTAAACAATTGTAAACTTCGAAAATCGTAGTCTTTAAAATTTCAAAAATAGGATGTTCATGCGATGTCAAATAAAATTTGCAGTTTTTATTGATTTCTTCATGAATTTGTAATTTCAATGACGCAATTCTTTGGAATTTCAGTGGGACTGTCATTTGACACAAATTTACAAATGTGAAAAAAATTTCAACCGAAAATTTTTAAGAATATAATGGTCCAAAATGCTGAAAAAATTGAAACTTTAAAGGATAAAATTATTGCAAGACCTACACTGTTGGAAAAAACTGAAATTTCATGGATACTTGACTAGTAATTTTCCGGAGAGTGACATTGAATCCGATTTAAGGGGAAAAATCATAAAATTGTCGATTTCACTGAAAATGCGATCAAATTCCGAATTTATGAGCCACAGAAAGGGAAGAATTCCTCAATTGGATCAGATTCTCAATCCAAACATGAATATTTAGTATAAACTCGCGCAATAAATTCAAAATACCGCAATACATTCATCCAAATTTTCCATATTTTTATCAATTCTTACGGAATAATTGAACTGAAAATTCAGTGGAACCGTAATATAATAAAAATTCCCGAGAAGTATACGGGATATTACATCCAAATTATTTCACCAGCATGACTAAAACCTCTGATATTTAGCAACAAAAATTGAAGATAATTTCACCACAAAAACCCCTTGGATATCCCCCACACAGTTCCCCGATGAATAATGGAAAACCTTCGACGAAAAACGAATGATTTAGCAACATTTATTCCCCCCAACGTGAGAAAACTTCTCGAAAATGAGGGAGGAACGGAGGAAAACAGTTGGAGAGCTATTGAATTCGGACATAAACTGACCTCAGAAGCCATCGGTTTCCCACCGGATGATAAATACCTCACCGGAATTCCATGGTGAGCAGTTCTCTCAATTGCTCTAGAAATGCTGATCATTCGGGAACCGGTAGGAGCCCCTAAAACCGCCCCTTCCCCAGCCTGTGACTAGTCTCGATAAATCTTACAAACGTACTCCAGGCACTTGTAACAAAATCATTTGAATCTCCCCGGGGAAACGGTTCTCGGGTCTTCGCGAGGGGAAAGGGTGCGAAAGAAATTGCTCAGCTTGGATTCTGCTGTTCTAAACCTGCGCCATACCGTTAACTCTTCGAGTACCTTTCTAAAATAAACGTGATCACGTCACAATGAAATGTCAAGGTTATCCCGGCATGCAGCGGTGTATCGGCGAGAATGGGGAAGAGATTTTCCGATCTTTTGAATATGGAATAGTTGATCCTGTCGTTGCGATGCAATTGTTACGCCAGGGATTTTAATTCAGCCAGAGTTCATTTGAATAATTAATCAAGCCGCGATATTCCAAGGGGCTCACAGCGGTTAATTAACCGCTTATTAATTAATTTTACTCGTTACCCTCTTGACTATAATTAAATATGATGTTTGCATGATGAAGACTGCCTTCACTTTTTAAATATTTACTGGGCAAATTATCCGACAGTTTTCTTCCGGTGCCGGGAGAAATAATGTTTATGATCGAACACGCCAATTTGCCGCGTTCCGCGGGCGCATGCGTCAGCGAGTCTGTAGCAAGCGGCACTTGCTCTACTGCCAGCTCGATCCCAACAGCGTTGACTTCCTCTTTTCCACGTTATTTTCACAATTCGCACGTTACTGGGTAAACACTGGGATCAATGGGCCGATTGCACGTGCTCGTGGAGTTCCTTTGGATTTTTAGAGGCAGATACGGCGACGTGGGCGCTATGGAAAATGTAGTTTTGTTCGGATAAACAACGCAGCGGGGAAAGGTTAGGAGACTTGGGAAGGCGGTCACGTGTGGTGGGGCTCAAGAGGGGATTGCGCGGGTTGAACCGTTCTCGGCAGCGGGATTTTCGACAGTAGAGGGAGGATTGATGGACTTCGGAGAATCATTGATGCGTTATTGTCTACAGATTATTATTAATTTTATTGAAATTAGCTAAGTGGATTAGTTTAGTTCTCACCCATTTATTTTTATTTTCTTATTATTAACAGTTGGGTCTTGATGTTACTCGAGAAAAATATAAAATGATTTTTTACTGTGAGAATACAGTAATCGACTGTTGAACAATATAAAAATTGCGAGGTGGTGATCATCAATATATAATTAACGGTAGCAGTACACATGAAAAATCTCACTTCTCTAAGTATGTGATCTAGATCACTCTTAATCTTATCAGATTTTTCCTAGATCTTTTAAATTTATTATTATGTCGACTTGTGCTGGCGCGGCGCTCACGGCGCGACCAGCGGAGAGTTAATATTTGGTTAATATGACATTGTGTCTTTGAATAAAAGTTATCATGATATGCTAATGTGTATTCCTGATGCAATAAAAACAAATGTCGATATGAAACAATTTCATGAACTGTTCACCTTTCAAAGATAGGATTTCCCGGTTCCCAAAATATTTAATGATTCTTTTCTTCCATCTTTGATTGATTGAGATGATTTGTCGCACGCAAAGAATTCCGTGCTCAGATTTGTTCTGATTTAAAACAAAATAGGAACTCGTTTTATCTTCAGTCAACCTAGATCGCGGTGTAATTTATAATCAATTAAATGCTGTAATAACTCCAGATTGATGACAAAATAAGCTCTTCAGAATTGAACATGTCGACAGTTACGTAATAATCACCATAATTAATATTTCATTAGCATCCCACGAAATTCATAGCTATTGTTTTCTGTTCTAGGTAAGTGAAACTCTCCAACCGCCTTGGATTCCCGGAAGTTTTCCCCAATAGAATATGCTTCGATGGGTGTACTCATGAGAGGTTTGCATAATTCGCCTTACCTCCAAACACAAACAGTTATTGACACCGTATAATGAACAAGTTTCCGTGAACATTAAACAAACCTTCGCTGTTATTGCTGTCCCACTCGCTGTTTGGACAGGTGTAACTAAATATTGTCGGGATACTTCTACCTTTATCCACCAACATGACAACTCCACTATTACCTGCGGAAGAAATAATATTGCGTCACAATTTAGTGGATCACGACGTCATGAGAAAATAATTGATCCACAATCGTTCAATGGAATTGAAATCGTGTGTGCACACGGAAAAAAATGAAATTGTGATGTGAATGAAAATTCATCAATTTCAGAGATTTACGAAATTGCTTTTTTTCACTCAATTTTAGCTAAATTTCCATTTCCGTAAATTGAAAAATTAGTATTCTCTTCCTTTTTTTTCAATTCTTCATCATCTCTGAAAGCTTTACTGTTAAAAACCATTAAATTTCATTGACAGTTTAGTAGTCATTTTCAAAAAAGCGACATTGAATTCGATTTAAGGGGCAAACTGGAAAAATTACTTCAATTTTTAACTGAAATATGAATATCAATTGAAAAGTCAAGAACACATTTGCCTGGACTTCGATTACCCGTATCAATTTTGGTGAAATTATTGAACTGAAAATTCACTTGAAACAATAGAAATTGAAAGTTTCGCCGTAATTTTCAAGGGCTCACCCTTTACAAATTCTTATTTTTATTAAATTCGATCAAGGTGAAAATTCATGAATTTTCAAATTTCACACAAAATTCATGAGTACATTCACCTGAATTTCCCTGATTTCTACTAATTTTCATGATATAATTGAACTAAAATTCCCATTTTCCATGAATTTCTTCATCAAATTATGAATTTTCACTGACTAAATTCCTTAAAATTTCAAACAAAAACGTTTGATAGCCTATGCCGGCTTTTCCTACGCGTTCTATTCCTCGAATGAATCTTTCCTGACAGAACTATCCAATGCGAAGAAAGAAATATTGGGCCACAATTTCACGGATAACAACATCATAAGAAAATTATTCTGTCACAATCATCCAGCGAAACCCAAATCTCTCCATCTAATCAATCTCCATACCAGTTTACCGCTCATTCAAAATAACCCACGTAATCTCAACTCGTGCGTGCATGATCAATTCATCCAATAACGGTAATAATCAAACCGGGACTCTGTTCTAACCCTAACCCTCAATTCATCATCCGGTGGATTCGAATGATCGATAGACTGTGACATTTCCCTTCATACAATATAAAATCTCAAAATAGAGAAAGCCAGCAGACAAGCTTCCCTCACTTTTCCCCAACTTTTTCCACATTTTTCCAACAAAAGCAGTTGAATCGCGGAAAAAATATACTTGAATTGAGTATATTTTATACCAGAATCAAGTTTACGCATAAACCTGATTCAAGAATAAAATATACTTGATTCACGTGTATTTTATACTCGAATCGGGGATGGGTATTTCAAATCTAGTATGATTATTTTGAATCAGCCCGGGCTGTACCAAGCGCTCTCAAGTGTAATATAAGGATCAAACAATAAGTGTGAGAATATAAAAGGGTCAAAAAGTGTAGGTTAAAAAATGAGGGTCGGAATATTAGAGTCAAAAACTGAGGGCCTGAATGTAAAAGTGAAGCAATGAGGGTCAGAATGTTAGGGTTAAAAAAGGAGGGTCAGAATATTAGGATAAAAAAATTAGGGTCAGAATATAAAAGTAAAAAAAGTGGGTGCCAGGCAATGGGGGTCATAAGGGCTAAAAACGATGATCAAGCATAATATATGACTTATATTTAGACCCTCATTGCCTGACACCCACTTTTTTTACTTGTATATTCGGACCCTAATGTTTCGACCCTAATATTCTGACCCTCACTTTTTAACCTCCACTTTTTGACCCTTATATTCTGATACTTAGTGCCTGACCCTTATATTACACTCAAGAGGGCTTGCTAAAACCCGGCCTGATATAAAAGAATTATCTTCGAATTGAAATACCCAGCCCCAATTGAGTATAAAGTATATTTTATATACATTTACATACTCAATTCAAGTGTATTTTTTTTCCGTGACGGATAAAAAAACTTGCAACGATTCGGGTACAACAAGCTGTTATTAAAACAAACTTTTTTATTACAACATTACGTAGGATTGAATATACATTGACCCAGTCGTGACTTCACTTCCGCTGTCGGCGACTCCGAACTCCAGTAGTGTCTGACAAACAATAGAATAACTACTTTTTTTTATCCCTTCACGATGGAATTGTCAGTTATTCCCGGAAAGGCGGTAATACACGCTGGAAATACATTTTTCGCTCTAGTTGATCCTCCCGAGTTCCTCTCTCTCCCTTCTCACTCCCTGAGTCTTGAACAAACGCATGTCGATGCACGCATAAACCATTCATTCCATAAAAATCCGTCCTTTACATAATGAAACTTTATACTATCTGTAGGTTTACATACAGGTTTGCTCGGCGCTCCTGTTCTTTCTTTGAATCACAAGGAGGGAATGGAAGAAAAAAACACCAGAGTAAAAGCCTTTTTATTGTGAACGAGGCTACTGTGGCTCCAGCGCTACTGTACACGCTGTGGTCGCCGCGGTGTCTCTACACCGCTCGTTAGTGACAAAACACAAGCGCAAGAGATTTAAATTATTGAGACATTTAACCAACAAACTTAATTTCAGAGGGATAAAATTGCTGTTGAATGTAATGAAAATCGATTGGAGTGTTGACACGGTGAGAAACGTATGAGAAGAAATCTGCACTGTTGGAATGGTTTATTTATTATCAACAAATGAATTCGGTTCATCATTTGCTGCATTGAGAGAAAAAATTTACTCTGCTGAAAAACTAGATGTTCCACGTGAAAATATTTGATGGAGTGGAACAGATTCACTTGAGGGAAATTAACCAACTTGATAGAAGGAAATGTATAATATCTTGCACGAGAATTAATCGATTTTCGAACAGCAAAAGAGACGAGAATTTTCACACTTACTGGAATTGTCAAGCAAAATATGAATATTCAGTTTCCAATCATGCTAAATCTTTAACTAACTGAGAATTCAAGGAAATATTTCCCCGAATTTTGCTGATTTTTATTAATTTTCACGCAATAATTGAACTAGAATTAACGATTGCATTTTTCCGTGGATTTTTTCATCAAATTATGAACTTTTAATACTGAAATTTCTTGAAGTTTCTGAAATTGCTGCCTAATTGTCAAAAATCTGGGGGCCTTATTTGTCTTCAGTGTTACATCTCAACTGAATCGTTTGTTATTTATCAATTAATCCAAGTAATGCTGAACAGAATTATCATGCAATAATAATTTTACAACCGTTATTTTGAGTACAAAACTAGCATTTGTCTTGAATTTTTCTCACAGAAATCAATTGAGCATTGACGCAATCGGCGAATGAAATTTCAACGCAAATACTGAGATAATACGCAATTACAATTTTTTCATTATGCCCGATCAAGCCAATTGACCTCCTCAAGGGGTCAATTCTCCTGAAACCGAAAAGTCCCGGGAAATCCATGCGATCACTTAAACCCTCCTATACTTAACGACCTGCACCCAAACGATTCTGTATTACCTTATTCGGTAGAAAGATCGATCACAAAACGATGTATTACATTTCCAAGATCTAGATACTGATTCAGCCGGTGTATGCGGTAACTCGCCAGTTGCATGAGCGAGAGATCAACGGTTTTTTCCCAACAATTGAGAGTCGAGCGCCGTTCCAGGTCATTTCGTTGATAAAAAATCGACGCGGATCGGGAATTTAAAAAAAAGAAGGAGAAAAAGAGAATTGACATAGTCTAACGCCCATCGATTTATCGAGGCAAAGAATGAAACGCCCTGCACCCGTCACGTGGCCGGGGAAATAGTAGCCTCTCGAGTCTCATGAAAATACGCGTGACGCTACAAACTAAGGCATTTTCTCACCGGCACATGTGCA